CGACCAGCGCCACCGCCAGCCTGCGCGAGCTGGCGACTGGCAGGAGCGCGCCCCTGGCGAAGGTGAGTATGAGCTTCACTGAGAGGGGTGGGCAGTGAGGAAGGACAGGGGACCAGAAGTGCTCCACGGTGGCCTGTGCCTTGCTCTTCTTTTCGACTTGCTTTTCTCCAGGGCCTTGAGAGCGCAACCCTTCAAGCCCCACTTAACAATTCTAGGACGCTGCATGCTCCCATCCTGCCCCCTCCCCTTTGCACTTCTAGTTGGCACCTGCTGCCCACCCGTCCTCTCCCTCTTGGAATCCCTTTCCCTCCACCTGCACCTGCTTGATGGTGGCCTGTAGTCCCAGAGAACCTTGCCATCTGTGTGTGTGGCTGCACCACATCCTCCCTCTGCCTCCCATCGCCCTCCTCCAGCCCCTCTCCGGGCTGGGCCTCTTTCTCCACCTTTTAACTTTGCTGGGCTTCCATCTCCCTGGGTGCAGCCTTCTTCTTCTGGACCCCTCCGGTGAACCCTCTGCACAAACCTTGCCCACTGGGACTGAAGTCAGTGCTCTCCCGGGTCTGGCCTTTGGGAAGAGCATGGGCCTCCTGCCTGGTGTCTGGGAAGGGAGATCAGGCAGGGAGGCAAGTGAGTGACTGGGGCTGCGGGAGGAAGGAGTTCACCTGGAGACCGGGAGTGTTTGGCTCAGCCCCTCTTGGACTTGGCCTGTCGGTCAGCCCTGCTCCTCCCTGGTCCTCCCCGGGCTCGCAGGCCCACTGCCTTCCCGCGCGGTTTTTATTTGAGGGTTTTTATTGGTGTAGCCACATTGTACAGAGTAGACGGCTTCTGTTTCAGTCAAAGACCTTGTCTTGAGGGTTCTGGCGATTTGGTTTCAAAAGCTGGTTAGTGTGTCATTTCACACCCTCTGCCACCTCAGGAGCTGTTGCTGGGGGAGGCAGGCCCACGGGGTGCTGGTGTAAGTGAGGTGAGAGGTGCTACTCATGTTTTGTGTTTTCTTTAAATGCAGAAAAGCTCATTTAAAGGGTTGCTGATTTATTGTAAAGTGCCATTCATTTTAGAAAGACAACCAGATTCCTCTCCTTTTGGCCTTTTAAAGCTTTCACGGTGCATTAACTGTTCAAATAATCCTTCCCCTATGGGTGGTGCCGAGATGAGGGACAG